GTGAATCGTGCCGCCACGCTGTGTGGAGATGCAGGGGAAACCGTATGTGATGGGGAAACGCAGCTCGACGTAACACCGGTATTTCCATCTGGAAAACGCTGTTTTGCTGCGGGAGTCCTCCTGACTCTCCATCCTCCCCTCTCTCATGACGCGAGTCCTATCATGAAAAAAGGTTAATTGTGCGACCTGAGTAACGCGCAGTAACGGGGTGTCGGCAATTGTAACTGCCGTAAGAGTAATAATTTTGATTACTCGTTACTAAAAAAAGGTAGCGGCGTTAGTAACGCCGTTACTTTTACGCCGTTACTCCCATCACTGTCAGTCAGTGAGCATCTAGTTTCAAATTTGCTTTATAAAAATAATTTTGTTTGCATCACATGCTACTTTTTTTTTTTCTAGTAGTTTTGTCTAAGAAGTGTTTTTGTGGCTGTTGCTCTGTGCTCTGGCACATCAGCTCTTTGTTGCATCCAACCCTCTTCTGTGCTCCTAAGCAATAAACCAATAAGACAAATGGATCAGACCCAACAGGCTTCTGGTCTCAGAGTTTAGCTTTATGCCTGGAAAAACAGAGCAGCTGACATTTTCCTGTCTGCAGAACTGAAACTCTGAGAAACAGACCTGAGGTGATCCGCTGGGTTTTAAGCCTGTTCTGTCTTTCTGGTGTTGAAAGTCAGGGAATCAAAGATGGCTGAGGCTTTTAACTCTTCCTCCTTTTTTCCTCTTTTGACCATCACTTATCAGACCGAATCTCTCTGAATAAATATTGGATCTTTAATTAATATTTTAAAGATTTAATTCATTCATCATGAAGTTTCTTCGGTCTTAGAAGCTAAACTAACGCTGATTCTGGATTTGTTTATTTTTATTGGATTCGATCAAAAAAAGTGTTTTTCTTTTTAAATACTTCACTAATTCGAATGCATCTTAATAAAATGTTAATCCTTATAACTTAACTAAGGTCTCCTGATCCTTTTTTAAAAGCGTGATAAAGATCAGCGGCAGCGTAGCTCAAGTGCTTATCCCTCTGATTGATTCTGACAGATTATAAGACTGATGACTTAATAACCTAAAGAAATTCAGCGTGCATTGCTTTATCCCCCTTCAAAACATAAGGAAAATAAATGATTCGACTGATTAAACACAGCACTGCTGATCAATGATAAGCCTAAAAGTCTCCTAATCTACTCTGTGTCATCCCACCGTGACATATGGTGTTTTTAAGCCTTTGAACAGTGCCGGTAAGGCCACTACGCAGCGGGGGTTTGGAGATGGGTATCACTCTGGGTGGCTGGGTTGATCCCGGCGCAGTTGGTCTGCAAGTCAATTAAATGACACGATGCCACAGCAGAGCAGATCAAGAGTGCCTTCAGGTCAAGGTGTTAATGAGAAGACCTTTGGCTTTTAACTGTGGCTGGCAAAGGCCAGGTGTAGGTGGAGAGTTAAAAAGGGGGAAGGTGGCCAAGTAGAGATGTTCTCTGCACCTTGGAATCCAGGCCCTTTTCATCCGTAACCACCAGCTGCTCCTCCATTCCTGCAACCAAGGTAAGCGAGCTTCTCTTTATTCCCACAAGATTTTAGCTGTCGAGATTTATACTTATAATAACCAGGATGAACATAAAAGCGTAGCATGGACGGGATCTATAACTCAACCAATCTGCTGTGCCAAGGAGATTGGCGCACGGCCAAAAGGAATAGAGGAGTGGCAGGTCGGATGAAGTGCTCCGCCAATTTTCTAATGCCTGGCACAAGTACATAGTTAAAGACGGTAAAATTGATTCATTTTACATCCAATAATCTGCAGCATACTACAAGATGTCCACAAAAGGTCTATATAGTTTCTTAATGACTGCTGAATACGGTTTTCACCTTGAAAGAGAAGCCGAACTTTAAACCTGTGAGAAAAATCAATCTGATGTGGCATTTAACTGGGAACGGAGATTACTTTTCTCTA